CACAAGAGAGTAGGAGAATACAGGGTTATTTTCGGAGAGCCTTACCCTAGGAGCTGGCTCAAAATTTTGACCCACGAGGTAGTGAGAGAATGTAGGATTTACTTTGGAGACCCTGCTCTGGGCCAACGACTCCAAACTCTCACCTGCTCGGCTACAGGAGGTTGACCTAATCCGATGGCGCAGGGAATAAGATATTATTGTCTCATTCCTGATGCGGGTGTGCAGAGCAGGTGCCTTTTGAGCAGCACCGGGTTCTTTGATTTTAGGAGAATTTCGACCATATTGGACAGCGCGCTGGCGGTCACGGCCAAGCGTGGCGTGATAGGAGTGTGAGGTTTCTGGGCCGAACTTTTCTAACCCACCCTTCTCGGAGGTTGGCCGTATCTCTGCTTCCATGAATATCGACTTGCTAGTCGCCTGGGGAAACACCTTAGATCCTTCACACACCCGTCGGAGAGGACAGTACGACTGTGCCCCATAAAGTAGCACGATTACTCGTAGTACGGGGTCTCGCTGCTCCTGTTTTGGCTGCTCTGTTTTGGCCTTCCTGGCATGGTTGCATCGTCTGTTCCAGCCAGTATAGCCCAGGGGATCTGTAGCGCACAAGGACCTAAGTATGTGTGTTTAATCAAAATATCAGATTAGAAATAACAAATGGCGATAAGAAATGGACAAGTGAATGGAACAGACTCACTAAATTGGGGGGTCCAATAATCCCACTACACGAAATGTTGTGCGGTAATCCTATTCGGGGCGAAGAATATATCCAGAGTAAGAAGGATATTCTCCACTGATAGTTCGAGTGTTAGAAACCAATTCCACTGTAGGAAGTTATCACAGCTGAAAATTGTCAGAAGGAGTTATTGTGACGTTCCACAGTCCACACACAAACACAATAATTCAATCCCACGACTTCAGCAAACAGCAATCAGTCCAATCGGATGCAATTTCACTGACTCAGCAAAAAGCAGGGAAGTGGCGCCAAGAAGATGTGTTTTCACCATTTTCGACTTTAATGCAATTATTGGTAATATAAAACAAAATGTCATCATACGTGTACAGTGTTTACAAATTGCGATTCAAGTCTATTATTAAGAGAGTAGAAAATGGGGAAAATGTAACATTGATTTGCAAAACACCAAAGATCATTGCTGCACTCAAGCCCGATCACCACATCCGAGTGGCAGCATTAGGTCGGGATGGAGCTTGTACACCAATGTATGTAGCGGAACACCAATTAACCGTAGGATGCAGCTTTTAGATAACGGGAACGGCATATTTACTATTAGAAGGGGAGCATTAGGAGGGCATTTTCTCACATTTACCCAACAAACAAGTAGGTATCGGTACCCCGTGAAAGAAAAGAAGGATGCACTAATTCTAGGCTATTGCATGGGTAGCAATTGATCTGCTCATTGTGCTAGGCAGTGTAGGATATTCTTACAAGTTCAAAGGTGATGAGTGTACATTCCTCAAAGCCTCTCCCAATACTCCGATTCAATAGGGTTACGTATTCTTCAAATCGACAGGTCCTTTGTAAACTACTTGGCTAGTTATAATGATATTCAGTTTTTGCAAGTTCTCAATCGTCTCACGGATCCTTAACCAGGTTGGTCATTGCATTTTGAATTCTAGGTGGCGCATTTACCCATTATTCCAAGCTCTGACTTCCGCAGCACTGTTTTATGCAGCACGCGGTGGTCTCACAAGCGTAGCACTTTGCAAGGAATAATGTAGACGGTGATTTCAGAAGACTCCATTTTGGCACACAATTTTGCTGACCTTGAAAATCGAATCAAGACCACGTCCATATATATATATATGTATATCATTATCAGAGAATCAAAAAATTCCAGTACATTTACATTTGTTTACTTATTTTCCGAGGCCAGCTATTGTGCTGAGTTGTGACTTCACCTTAGATGATAAGGTCGCCCTGATTCCTGTAATCAGCAATGGGCCTGCGAAGTAAAACTCTCATTCCTGAAAGTTTGTGCGGGCGTGGAAGCATGGGAATGTCTCAAATGGGGGTTCGAATGTGAACTTTATAGATGAGTGGAGTGAGTGAGTGAGGATAAACGGTTGTTTGTCGAACCGCCACTAAACATACCAATATATCAGCGGGCGTGGAAGCATGGGAATGTCTCAAATAGGGGTTCGAATGTGAACTTTATAGATGAGTGGAGTGAGTGAGTGAGGATAAACGGTTGTTTGTCGAACCGCCACTAAACATACCCAATATATCATAATTTGAACGCACTGACTGAAGCAGCACGACTACCACCGCAGCGTAAATCTTCCCGATGGCGGTTAGATATGTGTGCCTTATTTTACTACCTGTTTATTGCATTTTGCTTATTTACACAAAAAGGGTACACACATAAAGCGATAAATCACAGCCTATAGTCTTTGAAAATTTTCCGTAGAAAGCTTTCCTACTGTTAAAGTTTACTCGTACATTCAGTTCGACGCACCCTGGCAAGATCTGCCCAACGGTTTCTCCTGCTTTGTGGTGTGCAGTATAAAGCTCAACATTGATCTAGTGCTAATGATATGCCACCTGGCGCGAGCTACCCCGCAATGAGCCTCAAGTTGTTTGAAAAATGATGACGCTGATGACCGTTCTCAGACTATCTTTGGTTTCTGCATGTTATTAGTAACGACTTCTAGGCTGATTGAGCGTTGTCTTCATGCACATATCTATCTGCTTTATTATACTTGTTAGATTGGTTTAAGCATTCTTGGTTACCTACAACGTGATAAACTATACAAAGCATGTCGTTTTTGCGATCAAGTAGAAGTAATTTGGTACAATCTATTGAGGGCTACAGAGTATCGACATGTTATTTCCGTAAGATGCCCAGGAGTTTTCTTTACGAACACCCACTTTACATTGTTGACTGACGTCCAAATCCCACGATGTATCTTTTCTGTACATAACGTCGTGCTATTTTAGAGGACTGTTCAAAATCCCAGTTGGATAACTTTGCTGGCGCGCAGGTTGTATACAAAAATGCTGCTCAAGTGACCGAGGAGCACCTGCTCTTTTTCAACTACATGTGGCGTAAATATTGTGGCTCTTTGGGTTGTTGTTCTAACTTAAAAATATGTTGCCAAGCGCCAAAATATTGCATACAAACTTCATTTCCTCAAGTTGGAAAAATGTTTTCATCCATCAGGCGTCTCTGACAGAAAATCCCAATGTTGAAAAAACTCTCCGATTTCTGTGAATTTCGGATGTTTTGCGCAAACTGTAGCACAGCTTTTTGTGCAAAGCGGGCTGGTGTGCAAGCCCCAAGAAATTTAACATAGCACCGTGGATCAGCGTAAGGTACCTGTGGGACTTGATTACCTACAAACGGAACTCCCGATTGAAAACAGCACATACATTAGCATGTTGTGCGAAGATACCTAGTGAAAAATCTCCCTTACATGATGTCTTCAGCGCAACACCGTTTGGAATACTACTATCAGAAACAAGTGAACTTTGGTCGTTAATTGGTGACTTGGTGAAAATAACACGCCGTTTTGCTTTTAGTATAATCGAGCAAAAATCTAATACGGATGATAAGAGATTCCATTTTTAAAACAACAAAATTTCGAGGCCTACATAAGTTGCTTATTGAAAGTCAATAATAATCTTCCCGAGTTGTTTGTGGGTCCCGTTGACAACGTTTTTGTTGGTTAGTTTATTTTTTAACCATGTAGGCCAACATGGATATATTAGGTCTGTACTTTATTACAACGCCCCGTGTTGTGATGGCTTGTGCAACTCAGCAAACCATTTATCTATACTTATTGGGACCTTCGCGAAAAACAGAGTCTCTCATACCAGGTGGGTCAATATTTAGAGGTCTGATTAACACAGTCTACTGGCCCTTCGGGTTGTGGGTTATGACATGCGGAAACTTCTTCCGCAGAAATGGTAAGATATTTGCATTTCTTCGCCAAACACCGCCACCTTGTGGTTAGGGTTTTGGGCCAAAGGCTTTGGTTGAAGACCATATTCGTCATCATGACGAGGTGTCTGCACCCCGATAGTATCCCGGTCCACGCACAAGCACAAAGTGCACATGCATGAGAGTCAAGAATGAGGATGTTTGACCTATTTTCAACCCATCGGTCTTATTTCGCAAAAGCACTTATAGATTATGAGTGTTCTGCAGTTATGGCTGCATGGATGGTGAAAACGTAAAGTTAAGGGAATATACAGAACTGTTTATTTGCCAGGGTGGTACGCTTTGCACACGTAGATGCACTACGGTTTGGGCTGCAGCCTAATTTTCTAATTTTGTAAGTAAAATGTCCCTGAGTGGCAGCGCTACATTGAGCTCCATATCCGGTTGATATTGGTGACCAGGAAAAGGATGACTGGCAGTCTTTTAAAAGAAAACCAATCTACACGACGTTAAGCAT